ACCTTCTTCATACTCCTCCTCAGGGTACCCTCAACAAGTGGCTTCTACCAGAATGAAGTTTTTACCGTTTAGCAGGCTGTCATTTCACTTACAGTATTATTTAAGAAGCGATAGCACTTCATTCCGCAAAGCAAATAATATTTACAAGAAATTACTTTTTTTGAGAGTACTCTAACGAAGAATAGAGGACCAATTTTCGAGAAAAATGAAAATTGTCAGAGATATTTGAAAGATACATAAATCAATCCTGTTTCTGTTAGTTTTCTCTTTCATCCAAATCTCCTATCCATTAAATGTTAATAGGTCGGAAGAAATCAATAGAAAACTAAGATCTGTATTAGCTACGTTAGTGGTGTTAGTTATCCTACTTTAATTTGTAGATTGATATAATAAAGAAGATAATATAGGTTCAGATGATGAATATGTATTTTATTCAAGGAAAACGGGTGACCCAGGTAACAAAAATCAACAACTGAACTACTGGGGAAAAACTTGTTCATATAGCTACGCGAGAGAGAGAGAGAGAAAGAAATAATATAGACAAATATGTATATGTTGGGGAAACATCGCGGCTCACATAGGTTACGTAAAGGAGAGTGAAAAGAATGAAAAAGGCTAGCGGCAAGAACATAACATCTGTTGACGCTAACAGTTTCCGATGCTGATTCCGGTCCGGATATTTGTTTAACTCAGAGTAGGCTCTTCTCTATTAAACAGAGTTTTCAACTGCTTAAAAAATGGGTGAAAGCGTGCCAAAAAACCGAATCCCGAGCACAACACGGCTAGGAACCTTCCTATTGGCCACAGTTTTTAGACCTTCAAAATATATCTACTAGTTGAGACCTATCTGGATTTAAATTTTCAGACTAATCCATCGAGTATTTCACTAAAAAATTCTCGAAATATGAACTCAGAACTGTTAAAAAAGCTAATATATAAATGTCTTGACTCTCTAAGGAGCGAAAATGAAAAGCGGCTAAGCAGCCCTATATACCAGAAGATAGAGCGAGCGGCTCTCTACAAAACCTAGTATGCCACCCTTCACCCAAATTCGGAAGAGATTTTTTATTCGAAGACAAAGTTTGCGTAGCAGTGAAACGCACAAAAACCAGAACTTTTCAGTTTGACGATGGTTTTTCCAAAATTTCGAAAATCGTATTTTGCTTATTTCAACCCGAGTCTATATTCAAACATTTAATAATTTATTACCAAAATGATCAGCTCATCGAGCTCTACACACCGTGAAAGTTTCAGTCGATTTTGAGAAAGTCATGTATAAAGTGGTACGTTTCCCATGGATTCCCTCTATACTTTGAAACATATGCACTTTCAACAATGGTGCTATTTCATTTGTATCATAACTTTTTTTTAAATCATTAAATGTATTAGCTTGATAGAATTTTGGTAATGGAACACTATGATCAATTGGTATTGCAAATCCGACATAGGAATTTGTTTTAGAGTCATATTCAACTTTACGAATGATCCCTGTGGTGTTTTCAGAACAAAAACCAAACTGGGAATGACATTGCCGAAGAGATCCAAAGTAAAATTCTGTTTCACTAAAAGCAGTATCTGATTTTTTAATTAATTCACCTAGTGTTGTCAAATTAGGAATAGAACCATAAAGATTTAAACGAATAAATTCATAGACTTGTTTGCCACCGAGAACATATAAGCATATGGCAAAATCTTTAATTGATTCAGTATGTCGAAAGTTATTCGGAGATTGTGTAAAGTTGTTTATTNCCATTAAATGTTAATAGGTCGGAAGAAATCAATAGAAAACTAAGATCTGTATTAGCTACGTTAGTGGTGTTAGTTATCCTACTTTAATTTGTAGATTGATATAATAAAGAAGATAATATAGGTTCAGATGATGAATATGTATTTTATTCAAGAAAACGGGTCACCCAGATAACAAAAATAAACAACTGAACTACTGGGGAAAAACTTGTTCATATAGCTACGCGAGAGAGAGAGAGAAAGAAATAATACAGACAAATATGTATATGTTGTGGAAACATCGCGGCTCACATAGGTTACGTAAAGGAGAACGAAAAGGATGAAAAGGCTAGCGGCAACAACATAACATCTGTTGACGCTAACAGTTTCCGATGCTGATTCCGGTCTGGATATTGGTTTAACTCAGAGTAGGCTCTTCTCTATTAAAAAGAGTTTTCAACTGCTTAAAAAATGGGTGAAAGCGTGCCGAAAAGCCGAATCCCGAGCACAACACGACTAGGAACTTTCCTATTGGCCACAGTTTTTAGACTTTCAAAATATATCTACTAGTTGAGACCTATCTGGATTTAAATTTTCAGACTAATCCATCGAGTATTTCACTAAAAAATTCCCGAAATATGAGCTCAGAACTGTTAAAAAAGCTAATATATAAATGTCTTGACTCTGTAAGGAGCGAAAATGGAAACTGGCTAAGCAACCCTATATACCAGAAGATAGAGCGAGCGACGCTCTACAAAACCTAGTATGCCACCCTTCACCCAAATTCAGAAGAGATTTTTTATTCGAAGACAAAGTTTGCGTAGTAGTGAAACGCACAAAAACCAGAACTTTTCAGTTTGACGATGGTTTTTCCGAAATTTCGAAAATCGTATTTTGCTTATTTCGACCCGAGTCTATATTCAAACATTTAATAATTTATTACCAAAATGATCAGCTCATCGAGCTCTACAAACCATGAAAGTTTCAGTCGATTCTGAGAAAGTCATGTATAAAGTGGTACGTTTCCCATGGATTCACCGTATACTTTGAAACATATGCACTTTCAACAATGGTGCTATTTCATTTGTATCATAAATTGTTTTTAAATCATTAAATGTATTAGCTTGATAGAATTTTGGTAATGGAACACTATGATCAATTGGTGTTGCAAGTCCGGCAAAGGAATTTGTTTTAGAGTCATATTCAACTTTACGAATGATCCCTGTGGTGTTTTCAGAACAAAAACCAAACTGGGAATGACATTGCCGAAGAGATCCAAAGTAAAATTCTGCTTCACTAAAAGCAGTATCTGATTTTTTAATTAATTCGCCTAGTGTTGTCAAATTAGGAATAGAACCATAAAGATTTAAACGAATAAATTCATAGACTTGTTTGCCACCGAGAACATATAAGCATATGCAAAATCTTTAATTGATTCAGTATGTCGAAAGTTATTCGGAGATTGTGTAAAGTTGTTTATTAAATTGCCAATAAATTATACTAAAAATCGATTTGTTTGCTTAACATCATTTAGATCATTCATTCGATACCATTTTATTAGTGACTTTAATAATGGATGATTATCGAGGAATTCATCAGTTATATAATTTGAATAGTTTTCATTGTTTTCATTTGATTCTAATTCTTGTTTTTGTTTTAATGCTTTATTCAGTAAATTCATAAGATATGAAAAACTACTTTGAATGCCTGGCTTCACAATAAATTGTCCTGTTTTAGATTTAAAACAGGATTCAAGTTTAATAGCATCAGTTTCTTCTAAATCATATTGAAAAGATGCAAATACATCAGGAGTATTTAATAATTTACCGGCAGAGTTAATCAATTGTATTTATAAAATTTTAGCTAATGAACCACCTGCTACTAGTGGTCTGCGTGATTGTCGATTTCACGATCACGGTCCCGGTCACGATCACGCGTGATCGTGCGTGATTGGAAACTTTTTTTGTCGTCGTGATCGTGATCGTGATCGAAACTAAAATTTCGTAAACCTAACTTTGGCGTATATATGCAAAATCTTCAATATTTATTCAGAAACACCATATTCACATTTAAACCATAAAATATCTGATAGTTCATCTTCTACTTATAAGAAAAAAAAACAAAAAGAAAACACATAATTTAATGAAGAGTAGTAATAAAACAAATCTGAGAAAAGTATGAAAACGATAATTAAAAAATCTCTTCATCTCGGTCACTTTCAGAATCAAGAAAACATTCATTTCCCTCTTGATTGTCTAAGACATTAGTTTCTTTGTTCTTCTTTTGCGTTGGTTCATCATTTAAAATAATTGTGTCACGTTTTCGTTTAGTATTTAAACTATCACGTGTTTCAGTAAATGCAACAGAAAATTTTTCTTTTAAAATATTCATATTCTTTTTCAAAAAGATTAATTTGTTCAATTTTTTGGAACCCAATTTGGTTCGTTTATCTGCGAAAGTATTCTTACATGCAGAAAATTGTCTGCCAACCGACGTATTCGAAGCAGGAATAGCTAATATATCACGAGCAATTGATTCAATTAATGGAAATGATTGTTTATGTTTGTTAGGGTCCTTTACCCGTTTTCTTTATTATTCTTATCCCTTCCTTTTAAAACCAAACAAGCGAATGAATCCAAAACAAAAAAAGCAGCAAAGAATGTGATTCTCTCTTTCTCTCTTCTTCCATGAAATACCTCCTTGTTTATTTTCAGAATAAAGAGATATCATGGAGGGACGAGAATGAATGGCATTAACGAGAGCAGTGATATTATAGAGAGAGCCCTCTTATGTCAGGAGATGTCTCTCCTGACATAACACCTCCCCCAGCGAGAAAAGATATAAACTAGAACAAAAAGATACAATATGAAAAGGGCGTGAATCTCATGCAAAAGACGATAGGCAAAAGAGAAAAACAAGACTAATTTCGAATGATGAAGAAAGAAGATGAAATTCAGATGTGAAAATATGCGAATGTAAATACAGAAGATAACATATGGATATGTGATGATTCTTGTAATGTGGCAGCGTAGGAAGAGAAAATTTCATTAGAGTATGACTCGTTCCCGAGNAGATTGGTGTGGGAACGATTACTCGAGAGACTGATTGAAAAATGTTTGCTGAAATCGATCGAATTCAGTGGAGAATTGTGCGGATTTTTTGAGAATTGATCAGCAAAGAAAACGTGGAAATTTCGCTGAGGAAAATCAAAAATTTCTCACAATTAAGAAGAGAAGTGAATCTCACTTATACTTATCCAGATGCTATCAATTGTTTAATGATATATTTCCCTGTTTCACCAAGCCTTGCACCATATCATTTCGAACTAAATTTAACTGTCTAAACAAATAAAAGCTCATTGATTCGTACGATTTTCAAGATAAATAAAAATACTTCAGAAGAAGAGTTTAAAAAAACATTTGACAAAATGTTAGAAAGTATAGAACTTTGTATAGACAATCATGACAATTATTTTGAACATTTAATAAAAATATCTCTTTATTTTTATTTAATTTTATTCGAAGTTTTAGTTAACTCTAAATATTTCAAACTTATTGATTAAAATCAACATTTTCATCGATTTTATTTTATTGTTTTGATTAATGTGCGTTTCATGCATCAAAATACCACATTTTTTTTTCAATCCACCAGTACCAATAACTACTAATGTTTTAAACAATACTCAAACATGTGCAAAACTGAAAAATACCTGTCGCAATGATTGAATTACGACGAATTTTATTTAATATTCTAAATATCATATAATAAATCGAATATCTATAATATATGTGAAGAGGAACAAATATTTAATAAACTCTTGATTAATTATTTATTACATAAAGAAATAATGAACAATTACAACAAACAAAATAAATGAGACGAATATTATTGAGACATCATATTTTATTGTTTATTTATTCAATTTAAGAGGGCCTTTGCCAGTTGCTTTCTTTTTTGCTTCTGTAAAATAAAAAAATAAAAATAATCAAATTCAAATTTAAAACTCTTTGTCATTGAAATTTTTAAATAAATATCTCAATGAAGTCTTTTTTTGTACTAACAGAATTGCATAAATTACTCGTAAGTGAATTTAAACATGTAAATCTTTTCAAAAATTTCTTTCAAAGAACTAATAATAAACAATGCGAAAGTGTTTGACAAAAGAAAATATTGACATTTTATTTCTTAGCAATGAAACATCGTATCAATTTGCATTAGTTTTTTTTTGTCTGAAAGTACATAGTAAGACGTAAATAAAATATGTTATTCGATAGAGAAGAGAAATCTTGATCTTATCAATCAATTTTGAAAATTACCATTTACTCAATAAATGTTTTCAATTGACAATATTCACCAAATTTATATTCTAACAAAAGGGATATACAAAGAAAAATGAGCTTCTGAATTAATATCATAACCAAAACTCTATTCATAGTTATCTTTCATTCAAACCTTACAACCAATGATACCGTAAAAATCATCGAGCAAAAATATAGATATGATGACCGCGCCGTCGTATTGAAACTTTATCATGATAAATCGAATTGTAAATGTTTGTAATTGCATTAGACTATTTTAATCCTCAGACTGTACTGTTTCAAACATAAAAAACAGTTCGGCTATCCAAGTCAAGGATACAATCCGGCAGTCAAATCGGGTAGTCGAATCTTTCTAGGCTCGAACGCAATCGGGCAGAGCTGGTCTCTACTATTTTCTCGAATACTTCGGCTCGAAATGACCTGAATAGATCCGATGTTTGAATGTTAAGAGATAAATTTCGACATCTTTATAATGATATTTACATCGTTTATTATGGAATTTTATCTATAAAAATTGTTTCATTATCGTTTAGATGTCTATTGTTGGGCTTTTTTTAATGTTCAATTTATTAAAAATTTTATATTAATCAAGAGCTTAAAGATTGTTGAAATTACATTCAGCAAAAGTTTAACGTATTGAGATATGCTCTTGGAGAAAATCTAGTTTATTTACTCCAATTATTACTTTTTTTTTTGAACCATAAACTTCCTGTGTAATATGAAAAAATACTAAAACTCGTGTTCCTTGGTTTAACTCAATATTGATCGTACACTTCATACAAAAGTATACGCACAAGACACAAACGTAAAAGAATCATTTTTAGGTCCTCTTCACTTTCCCTGCATTTGTGACTTTTTTAGGCAGAATTTTACGCTGGGTAACAAAATAAAGCATCCAGACTAATATTTGGTCAAAATATTGACATACACTTTTTTTTTGTCGTAAATTAATGACCCATACATAAGAGAGTAAGGTATGCAAGCTTTCACATAATAACATATCTCAAATTGAAAACTAAGTCAATCAATTACCCATCCAACGGTTCATCCTTGGTGAAAATATCAGCTCAAACTATTGAAGTATTGCTGAGTAATAATAGAAATATTGTTCTGAACAAATATTACAATCATTTACTTATAGTATTACTTCTACTTACTATTTTTGAAATATTTTGAGAAAAAAAAAAAAAGCAAAACAGAACAACATGAGCTTTTGATCGATTCTGACAACTTAAAAGAAAGACGATAAAAATATATAATTTTCATTTCTTTTTTTTTTGCATTTCAGACATGTCAATCAGGAAAAGTACACTTTGAGTCAAGATTAATAACATATTTGGAATTAACATGAAAATCTCAGCCGATTAGTATTTCGAAGTTTTTTTTGTCAAAAGATTTAGCTGAGCTATCTCTAAGAGTTCAGTTGAAAAAAATGAATTTAATCAGCGTAGGTTTTTTATTATTTACTTCTCTGCTAGTAATGTTTTACAAGGTCAGAACATGTTTTTCTAATTATTCAAATAATTTTGTAAATGAATTCATTGTTTGACTTAACCCCAAGGGATGAATACCTTAGTTATATATTTTTCAAGAAAAATAAGCTCAATATAAAACTCCGAAACACATTACTAGTCGATTCAGTTTTTTATAGTAATTCCAAAAATGTTATTGATCTTGACTCTAATTGTGCTTTTTCTAGTTGAAATCTGTTAAATACTAGTCGGAAATGTAGAAAAATTCAAAATTATATAGTTTTTATGTCCTTCCTTGAAGTTGTCAGAATTGATCAAAAGTTTATGTTGCTCTTTTTTCTTTCTCGAAATATTTAGAAAGCAGTAAGTAGAATTAATAATAGAAACAAGTAATTGTGAAGTTTGTTCAAAAACAATATTTATATCTCAGTACTCAGCAACACTTCAAATATATGAGCTGATATTTTCATCATAGATAGACTGTAGGATGATTATTTGACTGACTTACTTTCCAATTTCTATGAGAAAGTTTACATGCCTTAGTTTCTTATCAATGACTCGTCGATTTATGATTGAGAAGTTTATGTCAATATTTTGATTGAAAATGTGTTTGAATGCTCTATTTTATTACTAAATGCAAAATTTTATATCAAATAATTTATAAATATAGAAAAATAAAAGTTAGTTCAAAAATAACTTTAATCCATTCTTATCCTTTACGTTTATATCTGTATGAACTATACGATTAATTTCTAGTCAAATCAAAGAACATCATTATTAGTATTTTTTTTTATCTAGCATAGTAGGGTTACGATAACTGAAGCAAGTATTCTATGAAATAAAAACTACATTTTGTTAGAAAACACATTTCAATATGTTAAACTTCTGTTGAGTGTAAAATCAATTTTAAATGCTACTCTATTTCTTTATCAATACCATTGTAATTCATTTGATAAAGAACCAGAGGTATTCCTATAGCAGGTGTTCCACCGTAAATGTATGGTAACATTATAGCTGGTGTTCCCTACTATGAAAAAATGTTCCACCTTCTTATATTATAATATAAGAAGGTGGAACATTTTTTCATAGTGGGAAACACCAGCTATAATGTCACTGTACTATTTTCATTATCTGAGGTGGAACACTTTTTCATAGTGGGGAACACCAGCTATAATGTTACCAGAACCAGAAGTCAATGTGTTGAAATATTGTTAAGTTTTATTCATGTTTGCTAATTTTTACTTACCATCAAGTTTTTTTTGTTCTTCACGTTGTTTTTCCTTAAATGCTTTTTCATCATCATCTACTTCTTTTGTATCTTTTTTTGGATTTTTTCTATGAAAACAAACAAAATTCATATGTTTGTTTATATTTGCAAAACTTACAATGGTTTTAATTTACCACCTTGACGTCCGGACATTTTTTTTTTCCTCTATATATTTAAAAATCAAAGAAAAACTTATACGAATGAACACCTTAATGAATCAATAATCATAGGATGAATCATATATTTTCTTTTCTTTTTTTAACAAATCAATCTATAGGTGATTGTTAAATTTTATTTCATTATAAAACAAAGAAAACATTTTATTTGATTGAAATTTTTTTTTTTCTTAATATTATTTTAATCAATATATTTATTTATTTTCTTTTATCACGACATCTTCTCATTTATATTTTATTCTGTCGCTTTTGCCAATCGAGTATTTATGTCCATCTCAAACGTTACCATAGACGCCAATAGAAAGCTCGAGTAAGAGAACAAGAAGAAACAAACATATGTATTTGTGTATATATAAGTATTTTACCATGATAAGTGGATGAGCGACTTCGAAATGACTACAATTTTTTTTTGACAACAACGAGAATTAGTCAAAGACAATGCCAGTATCAGAAAGAATTTAGACTACTAAAATAATAGAATTTATTTTATCTTGAATCAAGACTGACAATTATGATATTATATTTGAGCACTATTTAATAGTGACAATATGACATTATCATCTAGTGTTTTTCGGTTCGTATAGTGTGTATACATGGGCTATTTTAAATAAAGAAACTAATGCATTTTTAGTATGCGATGAAGTCACTGTACGCTCTGTTTCTTGCTTTCTGCCTATATTGATACAGGTGAAAAAAGGTAATCGTTAAGCTGATGTTCTGTCGTGTATGCAAGAGTGCTTCCGAACTAAATTTTTTTAGAGAAGAAAGATAATGTTTTTTTAGTTTTGCGAGATGAAACAGTAATGCATGTAGGTGAGGGCATAGAGTTGAATCGGAAAACGCACTTTTCTTTTGAAAAAATCTTAGTTACAAAATCCTCGTGTATACACGATGGAACACTAACTTATGAATATCGATTCAAAATAAATTCTGTCATTTTAGTAGTCTAATTCTTACTGTTATTTAAACAAAAAAAAAAGGTTTTACAAATATAGTATTTTGTTAATCATTTTTAGACAAATAAAATTATAAATATGTCAGGTGATGGCGAACTTAATGTTGATAGTCTTATCGCACGTTTACTTGAAGGTGAATTAAAAAAAAAAAAATTTAAAAAAAATAGTTTAATTTATAATGATTATTGTAGTACGTGGATGTCGTCCAGGAAAAATTGTTCAAATGAGTGAAGGTGAAGTACGTGGTTTATGTTTGAAATCACGTGAAATATTTTTAAGTCAACCGATTTTACTTGAACTTGAAGCACCACTCAAAGTTTGTGGTATGAAAAGAATTAAAGAAAATGATATATCTATTTTTTTTTTGTATGTTTTTAATTTTTCTTAGGTGATATTCATGGTCAATATACTGATTTATTACGTTTATTTGAATATGGTGGATTTCCACCAGAATCAAATTATTTATTTCTTGGTGATTATGTTGATCGTGGAAAACAATCACTTGAAACAATTTGTTTATTACTTGCTTATAAGGTTTTGATATATAAAATAAAAGAAAGATTTTTTTTTCTATTAAGATTTTATATATCTAGATAAAATATCCTGAAAATTTTTTTCTTCTTCGTGGAAATCATGAATGTGCTTCGATTAATCGAATTTATGGATTCTATGATGAATGTAAGAAAAAGCAACATTTGATATTGAATAAAAAATATTTTTCTTTTTTTAGGTAAACGTCGATTTAATATTAAACTATGGAAAACATTTACAGATTGTTTTAATTGTTTACCAATAGCTGCTATTATTGATGAAAAAATATTTTGTTGTCATGGAGGTAATATTAATCTCATATAGATAGATAATGGTTTCATATTTTCGTATATTCAAGACTAACTTGATCTTTGAAATGGATATTTTATGAATTTATACTTGTTATAAGTACTTAGAATATCACACAGTATGATAATCTAATGATCAAAATTCTCTAATTATAATCAAACGATTTATCATATTAAAAATAGCTAGTAGCTTTTCTATTGAATAACGAACAAAATAAGACGAATAATTTTCACTTAAGGTTTATCTCCTGATCTTCAAACAATGGAACAAATTCGACGTATAATGCGTCCAACAGATGTACCTGATACTGGTATGAATAAAAACAAATCTTTTCAAAAACTATTAATTTATTTTTATTTTTTTTTCTTATAAAAGGATTATTATGTGATCTGTTATGGTATGTGATTTATAATATTCTTTTTTTTTTAGTTATTATTTGATAATTGTATAATTATAGGTCTGATCCAGATAAAGATACACAAGGTTGGGGTGAAAGTGATCGTGGTGTATCATTTACATTTGGTGCTGATGTTGTAGCTAAAGTAAAATAATTTTCTAAAATTAAATTTCATTTAATAATTATTATAGTTCTTAAATCGACATGATATGGATTTAATATGTCGAGCACATCAGGTAAATATATTTTTCGTTTTTTTGTTTTTTTTCAAATAGAAATCTTTCTCCTTTCTTTTTTATTTATATGAATTTTAGGTTGTTGAAGATGGTTATGAATTTTTTGCTAAACGTCAATTAGTAACATTATTTTCTGCGCCAAATTATTGTGGTGAATTTGATAATGCTGGTGGAATGATGTCTGTTGATGAAACATTAATGTGTTCGTTTCAAGTCAGTTGAATAAATTTGTTTTTTTTTTTTTTTTTTTTTTGTAAATTTCTTTTATTGAAAAAAATTTATATTTCTAGATTTTGAAACCTAGTGAAAAGAAACCAAAATATCAATACGGTGGTCTTAATACTGGTCGACCATTGACTCCACCACGAGCATCAAATCCTCCACCACAAACTCAACTGAAAGCTGGGAAAAAGTAAAAACAAAACCGATAATGTCGGTTTAAATAATCGTGTATATAAAAAAGATGATTTTGTTTTTCTTCTGAGCTTGTTGGCTCATATCTTTTTTTTCATTTTGATCATATGATGATGTTTGATTTTTCTTTTTACATCATACTGTGGTATAATAATAAAGAAAAAAAATAAAGACTTTTTTATATCATTGTTATATTATATTATCATCTAACTGTTTCCACCCAGTGTTTTCATTTCTGTTTTTTTTTTTTTTTAAAGATCATAATTCATATAAAAGAAAAACGTTCGATTTTGTTTTGTGTACTTTTTTCGTTTAATGCATGTGTTGTTATCATTGTCGCTTTTTTTTTACTTCTTGATCTAGAAAGTCATTTTAATAAAACAAGTGACAAAGAGAGACAGAGGAAAAAAATTTTAATTGTTTATTCTTAAGAAAATCCGTTGAACTTGAAAATTATATATCAAGGAAATTACTTTTTTTTCGTTTGTTAGATTATTATTGAAAATACAAAAAGAAAAAATTTTGTTTGCATAATTCCTCCTGGATTAAAATGTGTGAAACACAATGTAACTACTGTTGCTAATCACAAGAAGATTGTTTTATTCTATAAATCATGCAACACAGTTACTTCACTTTATCCTTTAGAAATACAATAAGGAAATAGTTTTCTATATTGTACACTCACGATCTGTGGAGTGGGATAGACGCACATGTCTACTTCATATACTTCAATATTCCTTTTAGATCATGTTTCATAAACATGACCTTTAAGAATAGGTTTTGCATTTTTTTTTTTGTCATTTAATAAGAGCTCTTTAAACATCAAGTATACTTTAATTCCTTTCCGTATGATGCGAATCGAATAAAAACCGCTGTTACATCATTTTGTATAATGTGTGTTATACTGTGGATAGTTTGATATTTAAATGACTGTTTATCCTCTGACAGCTATTCTACTGTGGTATATTGATGGTTGTTCGTTAATTAGAACTCTACTGTCGATATATCGTTGATTCCTATGAATACCATGATATACCGACAGAAATACGAGTAAACGTGTGACATAGATTAGTAAATGATTGAAACGTATATAAAAAGACTTAACGTAAATTTAATGAGACAAGTAATTATTATATGATAAATTATGTATATATTAGATATATTCATTGATAAATGATTTTTGTGATGACAATTTAGTTGATACAAACAGTTTAGTACTATTCTTTTTTTTGAATGATCGTTATAAAAGTTTTAATGATATCATGAGGACTTGTCTGTTCGCATTAAAAATCGAGAAAATGAGTTTGTTTACATGAAATAAATCATAACTTTCATATGATCGGAATATTTTTCATAAAATAAAATTAATCAATTCAAATAAAAAATTTTTTTCATAGGCTTTTATTTTAAATCATTATCGTTCAATATATGACTTTCTGATTTAAAAAATCATATTAATGATTAAAATATTGAAAATCATCAATATTATTCAAGTAAATGAGCTAATTCTTTTATTACTGACAAAGAAGTCTATAGTTAATATGAATGAGACAAAAAATGAATATCCTTCTTTGAAGTGTGATCGCTGAGAAGTTATGAAAAAAAAAACTATTTATCTCTATGATCAGAAAATAAGCGACACATCTGTTTTTTTTTTCTCCATTATTTTCTCACACTTCGCTCATATAATCTAACATTTATATCATATATTCAAGTACTTTCATTCTAAATATCCAAGAAGTTGCAGTCGTAAACAGCAATATATTATTGGTTAACTCCGATATTGTGTCTTCCATTGCTAATTGATAATTTGACTAAGGTCAATGACAATACATCAGAAAACTATTTATTTTTTGTTATTTGACATTTTTCTTACGAATATGGCATATGATTGTTGTTTTAGTAATGGTACAAAATATACACTTCTTGACTTACAATATAACCGGGATTTAAAATATACTGAACTACACTAAATATTTTTGTCGTATAAATCTCTCTAAAATGTATGAACATATTTTTCCATTTTCTTATTAAATCAAAATTAATTCTGTTTGTTAATAATATGAAAATCTCATTTGAATATAAATATTTGAAAATTTCACTTTGACTCAAAATACAAATACAGTTGACGATTGATAAGAATTTTCAGTAAAATCAGATTATTATCAAACATTATTATTCATTCGATAATCAGATGTATTATTTTTAATCTACATAATTACAAAAGAAAAAGGAAGAAAGAATTAAAAAAAAAAAAAAAAAACAAACATTTTTCTGTACATGAAAGAGAATAACAATATTGCAAACCTATGCATTTGTTTTTCTTCTAAAATTGATTCAAAAGAAGAGAGAAGTAAAATCTATAGTGTTAAATAGATGAAAAAACAACTGTTCACAAAAAGGAATGTTAAAAATATTGAATAATATGAAGTAATAAAATACAAAAGATTTCGTTGAAGATACGAAGACAATATAAAATTCAAATATAATTTGCGTTATATAAAATTATCAATTAATACGTGATGATTTTTGAACAAGTTTTTGTAAACGTTCAATTTCAATTTTTAATGTAGCACGAGCTTTTTTTTCTTCATCTAATTCATGAATAAGATCTTGTATTTGATCCGTAAATTTTAATTTAATTTCATTCATTGTTAATTTTAGTTGTATTAAATCTTTTTTTAAATGTTCAAGTGTTGTCATACCACTATCAACAGAATTTCTTGATTCATTAGTATTAATTAGTGAAGAATTATTTGTATTTGTAAATGAAGATGTACGATTTGAATAACGAGGTGATTCTAATTGACCAGGTTCTTAAAAAAGAATCAGAAAAAAAAATGTTTTTAGAAACTTTTTTAGAGTTATTTTACCTCGTTGATATGATGGAGGCGATGGAGTATGGATTTTATTTCCATTCTAAATAATATTAGAAAACTGCTATGTATCCATTTCATAATATATTGCATTCTACTGGTATTTGAGTAACTTTTAATAGGAACATCATAGAGATCTGCGATTTTCAGCGTTCAAGAAGGAAGATTAGGGGTCATCGATGTAAACGGAAATTTGATTGGTCAGCAATCGACGAAATCAGATGAGTTCTTGGTGGAAATTTACGAAAATGATATTTTGAAACTATTTCCCTTTCGATTTACGCAAGACCAAGATAAATACACATCTAAAAGTCTACTTTTTCAATTGCTGGAAACTACAGATCACTATCTATTGTTGTTGTCGAGTTGCTGAGCTTAACACTACTTTTCTTTAATTCTACCATGAAAATTAGCTGTTTGTCAAGGATCGTCGATCATCAGCGAAACGATTTGTCTTATTCGTTTCTGTTTTTCGAACAAAATCTTTTTCTTCTTGTTACTGGTGCTCTATTTTCTGTTTGCTTTGTTGCTAGTCGACTATGTGGGATTCTCTTGGACTCCAGTGAGATATTCACTGTTATATTATGCATTCATAATATTTGATCGAGCGATGTACTTTTAGATATATGTTAGAAATACTTTGTACAATATATTGATAACAACAATCAATCAAACCTAATTATTTGTCTTATGATATGACAGTTTAAATTAGATATGAGTACTGAATAATGATGCATGGTTTCAAACACCTCGAAAGTCGAGAATGATTTAGACCATGAAAAGACAGTAGATAAGTATAAATTAAACTAACTGCTTTTCTGTTTATTCTTCTTCTAATCAAGTTTTCTTTTGAGTTTTCATATCTTCATGATGAACTAATAACAACTTTGGGTATTATATTTATTTTATCAATAAGGGACCCACACGCAGCTCAAGTAGATAACAATTGATAGTTCTAAAGATGGTCTTGCTAGGATTAACATTATGATTGTTATTTCAACTATTGATTTAACTAGAAAATAAGTCTGTTGTATATATCTATCAAATTTACGGCAGGCCTCAACACACTATTATATATCTTGATAAACTCAAATGCACTGTTATTGATTATTTCCGTAAGTTATAACTTCATTAGTTCACACTTTTGATTATATGGAGACTATGGGAAATGAATGCGTCAATACCCATTAATGTTGACATCTTGAATACAGGGTGGTCCAAAAGTCACGCACCCGACAAAAAATTGAATATCTCCATTAGGGCTTGAACAAACGGGGTGATTGTTTTAGTAGTAATAGAGGTATGTACAAGCTTTAAATCCATAAAGACATGTCTGGGAAGACCCTTTGTTAAGTATCACTACTGACCTCAAGAAGAAAAATTTTACTTTTTCATAGTTAGAAAAAAGTCACTTTGCCAAAAAAAATTGAATATCTCCACTATGGTTCAAGCTAAAGAGCTGATTATTTTATCAATGATAGAAGCATGTTCAAGCATTATATTCATAAGGACATGCTTAGAAAGATCCTTTGTTAAATATATTGTTTTCTATCCTATCTGTGAAAAAAGTAAAATTGTTTTGTTGAGATCATTAGTGGTATTTTATAAAGGCTCTATTTAAGCTTGTTCGTATAGATTTAAAGTGTGAACATGCCTCTATTATTGGTAAAAATATCAAGCCGTTTGCTTGATCCGTAGCGGAGATATTTAATTTTTTCTTGGTATCGTGACTTTTAGGCCATATGCATGGTAGCCTAAAAGTCAGTTTGCCAAAATAAAAATTGAATATCTCCATTACGGTTAGAGCAAACGAGCTGATTTTTTTAATAATAATACAACCATGTTCAAGCTGCATATCCATAAAGACAAACCAAGAGAAATCCTCTGTTAAATCTATTGTTTTTTCTTCTATATGTGAAAAAGTAAAATTTTTCTTGTTGAGGTCAATAGTGATACTTAACAAAGGATCTTCCTAGATATGCCTGTATGGATATAAAGTTTGTACATGCCTCTATCACTGGTAAAAAAATCACCCCGTTTGCTCAAGCCCTAATGGAGATATTCAATTTTTTGTCGGGTGCGTGACTTTTGGACCACCCTGTATATATTTTTATTTGAACAAAAATCAAGAACTGCAATATTTAAAATATTTACAAACGTATTGTAACCATTCATATTTCAATAAAAGATTTTGAAATGTTTTAGAGTAGTCTAAGGCTTGTTGTTAATGCCACATACCGCCTTTCTACATTGCTAAAGAATTCTGAGAAAAGAGTCTGAAATATTTTATCTCTGATTCCTATGAAAATATATTCAATGATCATCATTCCCTCTATTGATAGGGAAAATATACACAATGGTCTTTGACCATGGACCCCCATTGCTAGAATTTAGGGAGGAGACACCCATGAAAGCCTCTTTTCCTCGAAAAGGTATGTAAGTTCTACAAAATCATTCATGAAATCGTGCAATAACTCTATCTTGTTTAATTATCTATTGAATAATATTTTTTATAATTAATTTAATACTGATTTTGCTATAAATCTTTAAAAAAACTAACTTTTACATCAACTGATTGTAAACGAATTGTTTCATCAAGTGAACCAGTTGCTTTAAGTATTCCATGTTCCTATATAAACCAAAAAATTGTTATTTAATTAAATAAAATCAAAAAGGTATAATGAACATTTTTTCTTGCTATTGATGATGGTGGTCGATTAGATAACATTGATGTTTGTTTATCAATGTCACTAGATTTTTCTTGAGAATCTAAATTTTTTATCTCTCTATAATGATTTCGTGATGAATCATCTAGATAAAATAATAATATTTTTTCATAAACATTTATCATTTTCTTTGTTTTATTAGAATACCTTCTTGAAAACTAATTGATGTTGGTTTTGTAGTACGACGAGATTCATTAGAAAGATTATGCGATGAATCTATCAAAAATAAGTCATATATTATAGAAAATAGTCTTGTTTGTTTTTTTTATCTATAAATAAACTAACCATCATTGGTTGATGTTCTTTTTGATAATGTTTGAAAAGGACGTCTAACTCCCGTTTCAGGTATATTTGATCGATGTTTTAAATTCTATTCAAAAACAATTTTATTATATATCTTTTTTTCAATTAGCAAAATACTGAACCGATGATTCAAGAATTTCTTCAACATTATTATCTATTATAAATAAATATAGTTATTTATAACAAGAGAAAATTGAAATCTAACCAGAAATAACTCCACTTCGTCCATTCAATTCACCCTTAAAAGAAAAAAAGTTAAACTAGTATCGAATCTAGAATTTTGGAAGGAAGGAGCTAATTATAAGCAACAAATCACTTTTTGAAGCTTATCCAAGATAGTATATACTCGGTCATTGTTTAGTGTACTGCATTGTGATTGACTATTTTTGAATTCTACGCATGTATAATAAGTTCACGATTTTTCCGAATCATATGGGTTTCGTTTAATTTTTCTACTGCTACAAAATGGTTCTTTAATAGCAAGGCTATTATGTAACATCACACAGAATCAAGACAATTCCAAGTTTGACCACTCATTTTATGGCAACAAGAAAATTGAACGAAATCTATATAGTTCAAAAAAAAAACTACGAACTTATTCTACATACATAGAACTCGAAAATAGTTAGTCACGATACAGTATATAATTTTTGTTTGTTTTTTTGCTAGAACAAATAATGCTTGAAGGAAAGGACAATCACCGTTTTACCCTAAAAAATGTTCAGGACTTTACCTTATGATTGCTGAGATATTGAAGTTTTACGGTATGTTTTAAGTGAATGTTTCAGTCTCTCATAGAAGCAGCAGGAAAACTTATTTTCAAATTTTGACTTGAAACTTTCCACAGATACAAAATATCATCTCGGTCGAAAAGCGATTTGACACTAGAGAGGTTCCTCACCAGAAAGTAAGACGAATAGGGGAATTTTTAGTCGTTGCGACCCAAATATTTCATAGGAGCAAGTATTTGAGGATTTGGAGAGTCGTCTTCGTGTTTCCAAAGGATACTAAAGTATTTACTTAAAAACTATCATAAATTTGTAGTATATCCACACTATTAACCTGAGAAATCGAACTTTATTTCAGAATATTCATCGCTTATTAAGAGTCTACATGATTACATAGTTCTGACTCAAAAGCGATTCATTACTTGGAGAGTTTTCGCTATGAGTTAAAAAAAAAAAACTTTTTTCTTTCATATTCAAATCTACCTTCCGCCATCCTTCATGATCAAGATTTTTATCAAGTATAGTAGAAATATCATTAGTTGCTAATGTTAATTCATTTACAACTGCTGTTTCATAATCATAAAAACCACGAGCTTTTGTTGTAGATATTTTCTTTGACATATCATGTGTAATAGATGTTTGATGACCATTAACAGATTTCTGTTTAATTACTTGATTTGTCCTAGTTTTATCTTCATTGATACGTATGACATAATTCGATGGAAATACACCAAGTTTACCATCAAGTATACCTTCATACCAACCCTTTTCAATCTAAACATAAAATTATAAATTAATAATTCAATTAAAAAAAGAAACTAAACAAACTAGTCGAGTAACATTAATAATATCATTTGGTTTAATAGATAATTCATCATCCTGGGTTGGTAGATATGTATAAAGAGTTCTTACTTGAAATAATATACTATTTTGAGAAGCTAGAATATAAATAATACTAAACAATGCATAAACAGAAGATAAAACTGACGATTATGATTATTTGTAAACGATCGTTTTCGTGCGATTTCATTTTTATTTCCAGTTTGTATTGTTATAAATGTTCGTTTTTTTATTTTTTCTTTGTTTATTAACTTTTTAAAATAAAATCATTTTAATACGCAAAAAGAAACTTTAAATTTTTCTTACTGTAGCTTTATTATCCGGAAAATAACTAAAGAATGAAATTTAATACACAAGAAAAAAAATTCAATTTAAAAACTTAAACTTACCCAATCTTTCCTTCAAGTTCTCCTTTTAACCATCCATCTTCTGTTGGTATAACATCAGTTATAATATCTCCTTTTCGTATTGTTAATTCATCTGATGATTTTGCTGTATAATCATAATTAACGATATAAGTTCCCACTAATACGAAAAAAAAAAAAAAAAAAATCTTTAATATTTTAATTAGTGTAAATATATATAAGCTCTCACTGTTCTTCTAATTCATTTGAAATGAAATCTAAAACATAGAAAATAAAGCAATCAACTATATCAAATTACACATTTTCTATATATATATAAATCCCAAACAACCAAAGATGTCAAATATCACGCAAACGAATGAATACATACTATTCTGTTACTCGAACGAATAAAAGAAAGTGACAAGAGAGAGACATAACAGAATAGAAGAAAAAAAATTGATAAAAAACGCGAAGAATTTATACTCTCTTTTGTATCTTAGATGAAAGAGTTTTTAGCTCATATATGAAGCTTGATAGAATGGTCGGAGACTAGAACAATTCATATTTAATCTTTCATAGAGATCGCTAGATGTCGATGATTGAACAATCTAGCTAATTTTTCAGAGAAATATTCAATTGTCTACGATAATTAGCAGACACTTAATGTTACTAATGGAATTACGCACACACAAAATGTAAGATATTCTTCTCTATGAATAAAATTTTCATTTAAAACGAGTATTTTTTTTTTTTGTTAGTTTTAGTAAGACTTTTATCTTATGATTTTTTATATTTACTTTCGATAAGCGATACATGAATGTATTTGCTATGGAGGAAGGTGAAAAAAAATGGACGCATATCTTTATTATATACTTAAAAAGTAAATTAATCACATAGGTGAAGTATAATAAATAGTTGAGCACCACGAGGTGAGCTATTCTTTTCAATTCTCATTCTAAATAGAGAAGATCGAATGTGCTCAAGTGTCATTGGACTGTATTTTAATATATAGACCAAAATGTTTTGAGACCAAATGTTTCTTCAATTTTTGAACGAAAAAAAGAAAACGCTAGAAAAAATTTTAAAACCGTCCATTAGAATTAGAAATATGTTCTCTTTGTAAACCAAGATTTGGAACTTTTGTGTAACTCATAGATTAGGATTTATGAGCGAGATTCCGGAAAATAAAGTTTGGACGAGTTTCAGTGCACAAAGAAACTTTTATATCATAGAAGGAAAATTTATTTCAAATGTATCAAAAGAAAGAACAAACATTTCTATACAACTAAGCGAAATTGACATCGTTACGACAAGGATATGAAGATGCCGAAAACAAAATCATTAATGAAACATCAGAGAATCAATATCACACGTGATACAGTCATATTCTACGTTTCTAGATCTGTTAGCATAATTATGTTAGTTCAAACTTTATTTTTGAGCATTTCACTGATTTACTCATAATTCCAAATTTTAATCCAAAAAGAGTATAATATTCGGATTTTATATCAACTATTATCAGAACATATTAGTATCTTTTTGTTTTAGTAATTCATTTAGTTTTTTTTCAAAGGTCAAGGACGAATTNCCCGATTTCTTGATTTTTAATCAATTTTAATCGATTATTCGATTGTTAATCGATTTTAATTGCAATGACTAAAAAACGCGTTTTTCTCCAGTTTTCACGAGGAAACTTGAATTTTTTATTATTTTTTCTGACTCCTTGCATCGACAAATAGTAAGTGTAGTACTAGCCCTATCCTTGACAAATTTCTATGTACGGCATCGATTCATACTCACTCGTGTGAGCCATAATGCCGATATCTTAGATTAAAATCTGATTTTTCTGGTCATTTTTTACATGGGTAGTCTCGTAGAGCTCTACAAACTTTTATATATGATATTAAAAATGGTATGTGACACTTTAAGACATTCCTTCGTCGGCATAATTCGATATTTAATGCTGTTCATTTATAAGTTCGAAAACGTCGTTGACTTGTTCAAAGCCAATTTGCAAAATAAAATTGGTTTGTTTGCCATAACTTTTGTTACCAACAATGAAAAAGTTTTTTTCTGTTGTTAACATACTATTTCGACCATGGCTTATTTGCTTCAAACAGTCAGCATTACTAGAGGACAATAATTTGACAGCAAGTGCTAGTGGACCTTTACTACGATAACATTCTTGTACATTCAAATTAGCATAAAGATTACGATCAGGTTGAGATCCAGCATTGGCGATGATATAATCGATATTACATAGAGTTGGACAAGGAGAACTATCGAGTGTGACGTCAACTGCTGTGGAGGATGCTGAATAAGTTAATTTGGTTACTACGGTATTGACATAAATCTCAGTAAAAATGCGTTTATTGGCATATATTTGATTGACATTATCAGTTAGTTGACGCCTTTGTTCAAGTGGATCTTCAGGATTATTGCAATAAGGCAATTCATTGATTGATTGTTTGATAATCCAATATAGCTGTGTTTCTGGGTAAGCTTCTTTGACTTTGGCTATAATAGAAAAAGTATCACAATTACTATCGATCCATTCTTGTGTTTGACTAGTCAAGCAAGTAAATCAAACGAAACAAACAACTTTTAAATAACATAAAAATTCGATTAATAAAAATCTAAGATGAATTCCCGGTGTTTCAGGTACTGAATTCTAAGAGTTAGACTATAAGATTCAAGTGAAACTTGCAACATTTCATGATTATACAATTACCTAAATAAAGAGCCGATGTAGCTGCACTGTAACCTTTTCCAATAAGAAGAATTCGTTTACCAGCAAGTTGTTCGTATTTTAAATTAGGTATTAGATAAGTGATGGGTGAAGGTATTTTAATTCGCAATGCTCGTTCATTAACCGCTGGCACATTATTAGGACCTACAAAATTTGGATTATTGTATGTACCACTTGCATCAATAACACAATCAACAATGAAATATTCCTCACAGTCATTGTCTTTATTTTCTACGAGAATAATGAATTTATTAGTATGATAACGACCAATTGAGATAACCTTATGACGTAAACGAATATTTGGTTGTAAATGGCAGCTAACAGGACGTAGATAACATTCGATGAATTGACTGCCTGTTAAGAATGCATTGTTGTCATGATCTTTTTTTAGAAGATCTTTCCCTAATAATGACACATTCATGTGTAACGGGGTAAATAATTGAACATGTGACCATAAACGTATATTATTCGCAATATCATCACCTGATTCAAAAATGATAAACTGATAGCCATGTTTGAGTGCGTGTAAGCCACATTCCAATCCAATCGGACCACTACCAATAATACCAATGAAGAAATTCTGCTTGTCAAATGTCATATTATAAATTCTAAAATATTAATCAATTAAAATTTTCCATTAACAAACACGAATGAGATTATTTAAAGACATACGAGTATATCAATTAACGTTTGTCATAACTTCCGTTTAGTAGATTTTTAATAAGAGCTATAATAATAATAGTCACTGTGCTAATAAAGGTATCACTCTTTTACTTATATAATTACTTGTTTGTATGTTTTCTTTATTTTACTGTTCTATGCTCAATTTTCTCTCTTCTATATGAACTTGTATTATATATGTGAAGTTGAGACATTCTCGAGATACGAAGTAACTCAATAAACATCATTACTGAGAATAACGGTAAAGCTATTTCTTCAGGTTGTTGCTATTGTTATCTATAAGAACTTTTTCAAAAAAAAACCTTCTATCGTAGACAATGACCTTAAGAAGACAGCTTCGAACTTCTTCGTTTTATATGCTTTGTTTTGCTATTACTCGATGCTGATGTGGAAAACAAACCAAGAGTATTGTATTGCTTCGATTTTTTTTCTTTTACATGCTAGTCGAGATACTACTTTCCTGTATTACTAGTATATTTGACGATGTTTCTTTCTCTGTTCTGCTGTAAAAGAACGAAGAAATCATTTTTTGCTAGTGTCTAGTATAGAAATTGCTCTACGAGAAAATACAGACGAGTATTGCCTATTACTTCCGGTACATTGGTATTTCCATAAGACACCAAAAAAATAACGGTGAGAAAAATGCGTTCTTATAATGGGCTACAGCAACAGTAGATCAACAATGCAAGAACATATATCTTTTATTGAAGAACAAAAAATCCCCTCTGTTTTTATATTACAAGAAATCAATGAAATTTATTTTAAAATGCTTTTTATTGCGCTACTTTAATTTTGATTGAAAAGTCCTAAATAATCAAAAACAAATATAATTGTATAATAATAATAAATATTATATTCATTTCTTTTTCATCAGATTCACCAAAATAAATGAAACCAAGTATAAAAAGAAAATTAGAAAATTTGACTGTAGAAATGACTTCTACTTTTTCTCTATGTTATTCATTTATTTGGAAACAAGTTAACCTGTTGACTGAAATACAGTAATAAAAGAAACATTTTTTACATGATCGATGGTATGCATTCGTGAAATAATCTCTCATCGAGTACTTTTATAGAACAGACATGTTCTTTGAGTTAAGTGAAATGACTAACAGATGGATGAAAGTATTGACAAAATTTTTTGAGTTTTCTAATTCATTTTTCTCATCGATTTCATCTGGTGTTTAGTAAAAATAAGCAGGAAGAATTGAAAATGACTTCTTACACAGTATTCCAAGGATTTTAACACATGCATGGCTAAACTTAAATCAAACACCTAATATATGGTATTATTAAATCTTCTCTTACCACCAGTGATGCCAACGAAGTATCTCACCTGGATGAACTGCTTTAATAATATTATTTATGAAAAATATTTCACAAAATTCTACGATAATTATGAAATAGTTTTTGCACATAAAACACAAGTAAACAAAAGTTAGATTAAATATCTAGTATTTATCTAGTTATGACGACACGTTATGTCTAGTCCATGTGTCACAAAGTTATCTAACTTGATCTGTTTGAATCTGTGCTCGTCATGCTCATCTCTCATACAGACGTGGTAGATAATCGTTATGAAAGAGGATAAAACTAATCCTTTGGTGGAAAACGATGCTTCCAACACTGTGAATATGCCAATCGATAGAAAACTATGCTAGATTCTTGACATTCGAACTAGTCATCTTATAGACGTGTTTGAGACACCGACTATACGTGTGACAATTACTGATGTGTATTTGATAAAATATTTTAAGCTTAAAAAGTACGGATGTTGTCGACGATAGATACAATAAGTTATAGTGTTATATACTAGTCAAACCTGGACTAGCCTCAATGAGTCGAAGTTGAGAGGAGGTCAGATTTGAACATGCATACAATATGTCACTTTATTTCATCGTTCAGACATTTGAATTATACAACTAAATGAGCAAGATCGATATATGAGCATGACCAACCATAGGATACCCCAATTTGCTTTCTTTCTATTATCAGTTAAAAAACTAAATCATATTCGGGCAAAATTATCACCCTCATCGTTGAAACTACTAAATTTAAAATATTATCTGCTGATGGTGGTCTTATATGAAATTATCAAGGGGGAACAAACTGATTACTTGATTACTTGATTACCAATGATTACTAGTGATTACTGGTGATTAGGGGTGGGAAGTTACCGTTACGTTCCCGGGTAACTGGTAACGGTTTCGTAACCATCTCCGTCCCCAACCCGAGCCCTAGGGTCATCAAGTCCTATTTTTGAAAAAAATTTTTTTTTATTGCAGAAATAGACTTTTTGGGAAAAAATAAATTTTTTCCAAAACACCCCAAAATTTTGTTGCAAAAATTTTTTTTTGGAAAAAATTTATTTTTTCTCAAAAAGCCTATTTCTGCAAGAAAAAAATTTTTTTTTTCAAAAATAGGACTTGAGGACCCCACGGTTCGGGACTGATGATTATTCGTGATTACTGGTGATTACTAGTGGTTACTGGTGATTACTCGTGATTACAAATTGATTACTAGTATTAGTAATCAGTTTGTTCCCCCTTGTTTTTATCACTTTAGATTTTTCCACTAAATGAAAATGACGAACTATTCTTTGTTTTTTTTTTTAATTAACCTATTTGAAAATATTCCTTTTTATTTATATTGTTTACAAGATGAAAATGCACAAATACATATTTGTTATTCGAACAAACTTTATGAAAATATTTTGTTTCAGATTTTGATTGTATCATATGAACGTATAAATACTTCAACAAGATTTAAAGAAAACAAAAGTTAAAACAAAGTAGACATGGTGCAACTTGAATGATTTTTATTGTCTTTTTTTTCATACATACAATCTAATAATGCACAAAGACACACGTTGCAAAACTTATAGGACAAAACTCAATGTCCGATAAATTCACAGTAAAGAATACTTTTCTTCTATAGTTTAAATCTCGAGACACATTTAAAAACGAAATCATCGTTAGAATCGTTAATTTTTTCAAATTTATTCTTCTTATTTAATATTAATTAACGAGAAGTAAACTTTGGGAAAGATCGAAAAAAATTCTCGTGCAGAATTTCACGAAAGAACGTTTAAAATCAAGAGAAAAATATTTACGTAAAAATCATCTTAAATTACTTGCCTATTGTCAAATCACCGGTATGGTATATAATAGCATAAAACAGTATTAAAAAAGTATTTTTATCTAATGAAAAAAGTACTCAAAATCTATTAAGAATTTTAATAAATTCGAAATAGTTTTGATTCGAATTTGGCCTTGTGTCTGTGTTTAAAAAAAGTCTATACAAATACTTTGAAACTTATTAATAGTTCTTTTGAATTGAACTAAACTGTCTCAGACATTTTCATCCTTACGAATAGAACAAAGTTGTGGCATAGTATCTTATTAAATCCTAAAACTTTGAGTTTTGTTGGATTCCTCAATCTTACAAACAAAAAAAAGCTTGTATGAACACATCGTGAACATTGGAAAACATCGAATATCATCAAATCACGTCAGACTTATTATCTGCTGATAAAACAATCAATATATGTTGATTAGACATATATTTTATCAAAGATCTTCATAGTTTTTTGCTATTTCTCATCAACCAGAACTTCTTTATATTGAACTATAAGTCATCAATCAACAGATTGCCCGAAGTAGACTAAAAAAGTACAAACCAAGTTGAGTTTTCTTTTTCAGATTTAAACTATTTTTTCTGTTCTAATCTTACAATAGTTCATAAAATTGATAAATATGAACAAAAAGTACTAAGAAGATCTTATTAATAAAATAAATGATTTTTATGCATGTTGCATTCTCTGGACAAAATATAGTAACAATAACATGAGTAAAAATAATTCATTGTATCATCATCAATGATGAATTTCACGACTAAATCAATAGAATGTTTGTACAAATTGATTTCGATATCAATGTTATCGATAACAAATGCTTTTAAAACACTATAGCCAATAATTCATTGTTATTTGTACATGTCAGACAAGAAAAACGAAATAATTAAGCAATGAGGTTTGTTGCAAATTGAAGAGACGAAAGTTTTTTTTTGTTTTTGAGAATTATTATTGAACTAAAAAGAAAAAAAAATATCAGTAAAACCTCTCTTAAATGAATATCATTGAGACTTTGAAAGAGTATTCATCTATGAGAGGTGTCACATATTTTATTACGAAATAAAAAAATGTTCCAGAATCTAAGCTTATTTACGTTGCTGTACAATTCCCGAAGTTTTATTGTGCCGAGAGTTTTAGATTTTTGTTAATGCTTTAATTTTAGCTTGTTTGATAATCATTTACCTACTATTTTTGTTTTCGTATTACAATATTGGATACAGAATCAATTGAAATGCATCTCCAGTAATAAATTGTTTCGTGAGACGGAAACATTACTCAATATGTGAGATGTTCACTATAATCAATTTTAGTAGAGTGATTATATTTAAAGTAGATGCATTTAGTTAATTCTCACTGATAAGAACAAACATTATTATTAAAACAAAACTTGATATACAATTAAATATAATATTAGGTTTGTTCTTACAACATTTACGTTCAATTTCTTCAAAAGAAAGACCTATTAAAATCTTTGATGTAAACTGGTATTGAACGCCCTCTTTTTATCGCAGAGGCTAAATGTAATTTTAAAAGAATGGTGAACTTGTTCTAGGTAGCTGCTTTTTTCCAATCCTGCACAATTAACTTAAATCGTTGTCTTAGTTTCATTGATTAATATGAACATTCCATCATATTCATCATCAGAAAGTGTTCATGCAGCTGCTTGTTCTACATCAATAACACCACCAATAACAATGTTAACAATAAATGATTATCTTGATGGTTTACATTGTTTACATGAAGCACAAAAAGTAAATGCAACAACCGAAGAAATTTTATTTAAATTACGTCTTTATCTAGAAGATAAAGTTGGTGGTCAACATATTTTAAATACAATATTAACACTTATAAGAACACAAAAAATTGTTGATTTTTCTAATTATAAAGAATTTGAATATTGTACTAGTTTATTATCACTTTTTATGGTATTTATTTGTTTGGAAAATTCATTTATTGAACAAAAATAATTTTATTAATTTAATACCGTGATTTATATATATGTATAAATATTTTTTTTTTATTTTGTATCGTGAAATATTATATTTTAAATTTGATAGATGATACCGATGGAGTTATTTTTTTTTTCTTTTTCTTAGATAGAATAATTAAAATGAAATTTCAATTCATTGTTTTTTTTTCTTGCTTAACTAAAAGAAAACTACCTATTTAGATATGACTACTTCGCCGACTTTCATTCCGATTTCTATTAAGCATGGTAGTACAACGTTTCATATGCATCTTGATAATCAACCAAATCTTTCGAAAACAGAACAATTTAATATGATAGCTAATCATATTCATATACCATCTGATCGTTTAAAACTTATTAATAAAGGCAAACGATATACAAAAGAGAATTGGCAAGATTTATCTCTTATATCAAATATGACTTTTTTAAGTATTGGAGAACAGAATGAAGATGAAACAGATATAAATACAAAAGATATTGAATGTATTATGCAACAAATGAAAGTTGATCGAAATACAGCTATTAAAACTTTAAAACATTGTCCAAATGTTATTGATGCGATTTTATATTTAGGAAATAAATAAATAAATAATTTTCGAAAAGTTCTAGATGACTTTAGTTGACATAAAAGAAAATTTATCTTTGTTTGATGATGCATTTTCTATTCATCGACAAATACCTGAATTTCAAATAGATTCAACAACATATGATCAATTAATGGAGAGAATTAATAATATAAAACATCCATTGATTCTTGTTGCATATATTGATAATCAACCAGTTGGTTATTTAATGGGTTATGAACGTTATTCATCATTTTATATATGGATTGCTGGTGTTCTTCCTAATCATCGTCGACAAGGAATACTAGTTCAACTAATGAATCAAACAAAACAATGGGCTATGAAAGAAAAATATAATTCGTTGACAATTAAAACACGTAATTCTTTCAAATCAATGCTTCTCTTTCTTATTTCACATGATTTTAAAATAATTGACATTGATAAACGACAATCTGTTGACACTCATCGTCTTATTCTAGAAAAACAGTTAATCATTCCACAGCATTCATCTTCTAATTGATATGAATGTGAAATATGAACAATAAAAGCTGGTCAGCACAGTCACTTTGAGGCTCACATGTGGAACTCACATTTAATGTTTAATCTCATCAAACTAATACAAAACAGACATTTTAATAAGTTGGGCTGGACCGGAGAAAGCCGACTCAACCCATTGAGACATCTGATATAAAATACGTAAAATGAAGAATTTCTAGGAGATCATTGCTGTTTTCCAAAGATAATCGATCGTCAGCGAAACGATCTGCCTTATTTATTACTGAATTCCAAACAAAATCTTTTTTAAAGTCTTGTTGCTAATTGCTCGTTGTTTTTCATTTTTGTATCCTGTTTTTCTTAATTTAGCATTATTATTATTCTAACTATTGATTTAAATAGTAAATAAGCTTGTGGTACATATTGATTATATATACAGTCAGTCTCAACGTACTATTATATACTTCGATAAACTCAGAAACACTGACATTGATTATATTCTAAAGTTATTATTTGGTCAGTTCATATTTTTTATGTTGCTCGTATGATGACTCTTGCAAACCAATAATATCTTTGATACCTTGAGTATAAATTTTATTTAGGTAGAAGTCAAAAACTACATTATTTAGAACGTTCACAAACATATTCCAGTCATTCAGATTTCGACGAAGGCTTGGGAATATTCTAGAACAATCGAAGTCTTGTTGTTAATATCTTTCAGAGCATTTTTCCGTTGTTAAGAAAATCTGAGAAAGAAGTCGGATCCCTGTTGTTCTCGATTGCTATGGAACCATACCCAATGACTGTTGGTCTCCCCTTTGCGTTGTTATAAGGGCGCAGAAAGTCACAAAATCTCGACTTGAAACTTACATTCGCTATATTTTTCATTGAAAATAAAAATGTGAGTTATGCACAAAAAGTATTATTCCACCTAGATGAATTTGCTTTTTTTTGAAAAATCTGTATGATTATCTATTTTTTCATAGTGACGGATTTCGAGGGGATACTGCTCTGATGGATTTCAAAACACGTTTTGCGACTATGATTGTGTGCCTTTTTATTAAATCACTCTCTCTTACCTAAATCTTAGGTTCATTGCTGTGTTTTCATTTGCAATTTTATGACTCAAGTCGAATGATTTTTTTTTTCATGTGCAAACCTCAAGATGTATTCGTAGACAAGTATTTTTACGTATTTACATGAGTTATGTGCACATTTTAAGCAACTCATGCACTAAGTTGATGAACATCATATACATGAGGATACTTGAAACAATCAACTGAACAAAGTAATAGCTGTTTTTCTGCTCAGGACGAAAGGATGCTTCTTGCATCATGGAAGATATCTGAATCCAATGACTCATATAGTTTTCAATTTGGTATGCCTGTTATAGTCTTNTTACTTCACATACAATCAATTTGGTGCTCATTTGTATGTTTTTTCGGTGCTCATTTTACACATAGAGAAAATCAGTGCTCATTTGTATGTTTTTTCGGTGCTCATTTCACATGTCGATAAGTTTGGTGCTCATTTCACTTCTTTTCTGGTGCTCAAAACACACTTCATCAATTTGGTGCTCATTTCACTCCTTTTTCGGTGCTCAAAACACTCCTCGTCCGAATTAATTGATGGTTTAATATCAACTGGAGTATTTTTATCATCGGAATTCTATGCTGATTATGATGGACGAACACCAATGCATTTAGCTGCTGCTAATGGTCATTTGAATGTAATTAAAGTATTGCAATGTCATGGTTATGATGGTAGAACACAAAGAGATCGTTGGGAGTAATTCTGTCTTGGATGGAGCACGACGAAAAAAGTTTACTGAAATTATTGATATTTTACTGGAAGACATTGTTTAGCGATTTTTCGGTTTTTTAATGTATTTGAAATAAAAAACAATTTGATGATTAGGTTTATCGAATAGAGATAAAAACTTGTCAAACTATCAATTATGGAGATCACGAGTTGAGTTTATGAGAAAAAATTTGCTTATGAGATGATCGTTCACCTTTATTCATACTGACTGATTGATATTCATCCGAGACTATTCTTATACTGGAAGAGAAAGAAGAAATAAAGTCCCTGTCTTTCGGCTACCTCGCGATAGTGAGTGCTGTTCAGAGCTGTGAGTGCCGCGATTCCCTGTTCCCTAGGGTTCCGTTTCCAAGGAACAGAACCCATCTGAAGATCTGTTTCCTCACATTCCTGATTATCGTGAGACTTGTGAACATCCGTATTCTTTCGATCTGTATCAATTCACACCCTCTTTTTTCTTCTCTTGTAAGTGCTTTCGAGTGTATGTAGTCAAAAAAATAATAAATGATGAAATCTTGTTTGTTTTTTCTTCATACGATGCATCGTGAAAAGTTCTACAATAACTGTGTGAGAAATTTCTATTAACTTATTATCGATAGCTTTTTCATACTCAAAACGACAAAATGACACTCAATAGTATTCTTTCTCACCGGTTTTTATATAGGTAAAATAAATTAATATTACGCAATTTTAATTACCCGACTCAAAATACAAAAGCGATACAAAACTTTTGAGCTGCATTGCGTTAAAAAGTCCGATTCATGCATTTAAACGCGCTGAAAATTCTTTCAATATTGAATAATCGCTATCGTTTACTACGAGTCTTCCACAGGTACTCACATAGTTATCGGAATAGGAAAAATAAGAGAAAAAAAGACCTGTTACATACACATCTATCATTATATGTACTCGACTTTTGAAACAAAATACTCAATAATGAAATTGAAAAAGGAAATATGTAAAATTTGTCAAAACAGTTGACGGATTTAGAGATATATGTAGATGTAACAGCCTTTCTCTTTCTCTTCTTATTTTTTTTTCTGGCAGCTCTGTGAATACTTATGGAAGTCTAGTAATACAAAAATAAGTTGTATTCAGCATTAAAAAACGTTTCATTGTATCTTATAACACTCATGTGCTCAAGCGTTCACTACTTTATTTCTACTGCTCTTCATATTGAATATATTTTTTCAGGAGTTTTACGTGTCACTAATGTGTCGCCTTATGATAACACACGGAATGAAGATAAAAAATGTAAATAATTTGTGTGGGTGGGTGTGGGTGTGAGCGTGAGTATGGATCATTCTTCACTGACACTCACCACCCACACCTACATTCACACCCAAAAATATAACATATTGCAAAAGTTTTTCTTTTAAATACATTACGTTTTAACGAGCAGAATATAGTAAAAAAATCGAAGTTTAATACCAATGGCACTCGAAAATCTCATATAACTGCGCTATAAAATAACTATTTGCTCATGTAGCATAATCTTCAATTATTTCAACACCATATTTATATTCAATTGATTCTCCTATTTGAAAATACTCTTTAAAATTTCGCCAAAAGTTGTGTGAAAAGGTTGAAAAATCTTTATAGTAATTTTTGGATGTCCAGAAATGCTTGAGCCTTTTCTCCTCCTTGTCCAATTTTGACGGACTCCTCTATCTTCCTTTATCTAGACGTCTTGTATAGATGACCTCTTAACTAAAAGAAAACTACCTAATTAGATATGACTACGTCGCCGACTACCATTCCGATTTCTATTAAGCATGGTAGTACAACGTATCATATGCATCTTGATAATCAACCAAATCTTTCGAAAGCAGAACAATTTAATATGATAGCTAATCATATTCATATATCATCTGATCGTTTAAAACTTATTTATAAAGGCAAATGATATACAAAAGAAAATTGGCAAGATTTATCTCTTATATCAAATATGACTTTTTTAAGTATTGGAAAACAGAATGAAGATGAAGCAGACATGAATACAAAAGATATTGAATGTATTATGCAACAAATGAAAGTTGATCGAAATACAGCTATTAAAACTTTAAAATATTGTCCGAATGTTATTGATGCGATTTTATATTTAGGAAATAAATAAATAAATAATTTTTGAAAAGTTCTAGATGACTTTAGTTGACATAAAAGAAAATTTTTCTTTGTTTGATGATGCATTTTCTATTCATCGACAAGTACCTGAATTTTAAATAGATTCAACAACATATGATCAATTAATAGAGAGAATTAATAATGTAAAATATCCATTGATTCTTGTTGCATATATTGATAATCAACCAGTTGGTTATTTAACGGGTTATGAACGTTATTCATCATTTTATATATGGATTGCTGGTGTTTTTCCTAATCATCGTCGACAAGGAATACTTGTTCAACTAATGAATCGAACAAAACAATGGGCTATGAAAGAAAAATGTAATTCGTTAACGATTAAAACGCATAATTCTTTCAAATCAATGCTTCTCTTTCTTATTTCACATGATTTTAAATTAATTGACATTGATAAACGACAGTCTGTTGACACTCATCGTCTTATTCTAGAAAAACAGTTAATCATTCTACAGCATTCATCTTCTAATTGATATGAATGTGAAATATGTACAATAAAAGCTGGTCAGCATAGCCTCTTTGGGGCTCACATGTGAAACTCACATTTAATGTTTAATCTCATCAAACTAATACAAAACAGAAATCTGAATGAGTTGGGCTGAACCGAAGAAAGCCGACTCAACCCACTGAGACATCTGATACAAAATACGTAAAATGAAGAATCTCTAGGAGATCATTGCTGTTTTCCAAAGATAATCGATCGTCAGCGAAATGATCTGCCTTATTTATTACTGCATTTCAAACGAAATCTTTTTTAAAGTGTTGTTGCTAATTGCTCGTTGTTTTTCATTTTTGTATCCCGTTTTCCTTAATTTAGCATTATTATTATTCTAACTACTGATTTAACTAGTAAATAAGCTTGTGGTACATATCGATTATATATACAGTCAGTCTCAACGTACTATTTTATACTTCGATAAACTCAGAAATACTGACATTGATTATATTCTAAAGTTATTACTTGGTCAGTTCATATTTTTTATGTTGCTCGTATGATGACTGTTGAAAACCAATAACATCTTTGATGCCTTAAGTATAAATTTTATCTAGGTAGAACTCAAAAACTACATTATTTAGAACATTCACAAACATATTCCAGTCATTTATATTTCGACGAAGGCTTGGGAATATTCTAGAACAGTCGAAGTCTTGTTGTTAATATCTTTTCGAGCATTTTTCCGTTGTTAAGAAAATCTGAGAAAGAAGTCGGATCCCTGTTGTTCTCGATTGCTATGGAAACATACCTAATGACTGTTGGTCTCCTCTTTGAGTTGTTATAAGGGCGCAGGAAGTCACAAAATCTCGACTTGAAATTTACATTCGCTATATTTTTCGTTGAAAATCAAAATGTGAGTTATGCACAAAAAGTATTATTCCACCTAGATGAATTTGCTTGTTTTGAAAAATCTGTATGATTATCTATTTCACAGTAGCGGATTTCGAGGGAGTACTGCTCTGATGGATTTCAAAACACGTTTTGCGACTATAATTGTGTACCTTTTCATTCAATCACTCTCTCTTACCTAAATCCTAGATTCATCGCTGTGTTTTCATTTGCAATTTTATGACTCAAGTCGAATGATTTTTTTTTCATGTGCAAACCTCAAGATGTATTCGTAGACAAGTGTGTTTAAGTATTTGCATGAGTTATGTGCACAATTTAAGCAACTCATGCACTAAGTTGATAAACATCATATAATTACATGAGGATACTTGGAACAATCAACTGAACAAAGTAATAGCTGTTTTTTGTGCTCAGGACGAAAGGATGCTTCTTGCACCATGGAAGATATCTAAATCCAATGACCCATATAGTTTTCAATCTGATATACCTGTTTTAGTCTTTGTTATTTAAACTGTGAGTTTTGATGAAGCATCGAATTATTTTCAATTTTAAAACTGAAAAGCACTTATAACATTTAATTAAAAGTGATTTCACACATTACAGATATTTCTTCATCCGTTATGACAGATGACAAAACCCAATGGTGTATTATTATCACTAGTTTTCGATCAGAACGGATTTATGCTGTTAATCTGTGTAGTTCGTACTGTTTATCATGCAATATTTAATTTATGATCACTTTTACACACAACTGAACTCTTCAAAAGATTTTAATATATGTCTAAAGCACATGACTTGGGGTGTCGGCGTGGGCTTGTTCTTTTCCTGCACATCCACACTCACATCCACATCCACCCACACCCTCCATCGGGATCCAGTAGGATCCATGGGATCCAATGATATTCATTAATATAAATCATGTTTTTAAGAATTTACAAGAACAAAAAACATTAGACAGACGCATATTATAAAAATTTATAAATCAAAACATGCGATAGAAGAACTGCAATGGCCATTACGTAATATGCTCATAACTCTGACTTATCTATGTGATATTTTGTAATAATCGATTACTAACAAAAGATATTACCATCTTTCAGAACATAGGAAAAGAACCATTAAAACATTCAATTATGCATGCTGTTTTATGACTATTTATGTACATCAGTATTTTTCAAAACATTCTATGAGTTCTCTACAATATAGACGAGGATGACAGAACATCGCTGTCTTACACTATTTCCACAACGACTTTCGTTTGCATATTAACTAGTTCTTCGTGTTGAAGTGAACATTTCTGATAGTCTAATCAGTGAACTATGGCTTACAGCCATTCGTTGAGAAATATAATTCGACTGTTATTTAATATGTTTTATTCAAATACAGTAGGGGACAAAATTATAAGAACAAAAAATTGTTTTAATCTATCAGTTTATNTCAGTTCATATTTTTTATGTTGCTCGTATGATGACTCTTGCAAACCAATAATATCTTTGATACCTTGAGTATAAATTTTATTTAGGTAGAAGTCAAAAACTAAATTATTTAGAACATTAACAAACATATTCTAGTCATTCAGATTTCGACGAAGGCTTGGGAATATTCTAGAACAGTCGAAGTCTTGTTGTTAATATCTTTCAGAGCATTTTTCCGTTGTTAAGAAAATCTGAGAAAGAAGTCAGATCCCTGTTGTTTTCGATTGCTATGGAAACATACCCAATGACTGTTGGTCTCCCCTTTGCGTTGTTATAAAGGCGCAGAAAGTCACAAAATCTCGACTTGAAACTTACATTCACTATATTTTTCATTGAAAATCAAAATGTGAGTTATGCACAAAAAGTATTATTCCACCTAGATGAATTTGCTTTTTTTTGAAAAATCTGTATGATTATTTATTTTTTCATAGTAGCGGGTTTCGAGAGAATACTGCTCTGATGGATTTCAAAACACGTTTTGCAACTATGATTGTGTGCCTTTTTATTAAATCACTCTCTCTTACCTAAATCATAGATTCATTGCTGTGTTTTCATTTGCAATTTTATGACTCAAGTCGAATGATTTTTTTGTTTCATGTGCAAACCTCAAGATGTATTCGTAGACGAGTATTTTTACGTATTTACATGAGTTATGTGCACAATTTAAGCAAGTCATGCACTAAGTTGATGAACATCATATACATGAGGATACTTGAAACAATCAACTGAACAAAGTAATAGCTGCTTTTTCTGCTCAGGACGAAAGGATGCTTCTTGCATCATGGAAGATATCTGAATCCAATGACTCATATAGTTTTCAATTTGGTATGCCTGTTATAGTCTTTGTTATTTAAACTGTGAATTTTGATGAAACATCGAATCATTTTCAATATAAAATTGAAAAGTACTTATAACATATAATTAAAAGTGATTTCACACATTACAGATATTTCTTCATCCGTTGTGACAGATGACGAAACCCAATGGAGTATTATTATCACTGGTTTTCGATCAGAACGGAGTTATGCTATTAATCTGTGTAGTTCGTAGTGTTTATCATGCAATATTTCATTTATAATCACTTTTACACACAATTGAACTCTTCAAAAGATTTTAATATATGTCCATAGCACATGACTTTCTTTTCTTAAAATACTTCAATATCTCATATGCATGAAGAAAAAGTTTGAATAAGGAATGACAAAAGACAATCTGTATGATTTATTTCAAAATATCAATCAATATTAAAATAACTCGAATGAAATTATCACAGAATAAGTACATTTTTGTTGTATAATATACCTTGCATTGTTTTAATGATGACCTGAGCCACCAACACGACCATCACCGTTTAAATCCATATGAGTAGCTTTCTCCAATTGATTCATTACGCCACCACCACCACCACCACCCGAGTGAGGATTATTTCCATATCCATGTCCACCTTGCGGACCATGACCCATACCACCACCCACACGACCATCCCCATTGAGATCCATATGAGCAGTTTTTTCCACTTGATTCATCATACCTCCACCGGCACCCCCATGACCTTGTGACTGACCACGACCTTTTTTGTAAAAAAAAGAATGAAATAAAATTTATTTGTTTTTCAGAAAACTCATACCTGAACCAATAACACCATCACCATTTAAATCAACACCTAATTTCTTTTCAACTTGTTTGGTTATAAAGTCTATACAAGAAATTTTGATGGGAATTATTTGAAATTTTATTTAGAGTATAAAAGATTTCTTTATTTTACAAACATAACGCCTTGGTTAACTTTTTACTTCATATCTTAATATATTGTTCTTTAGTTTTAGCAGGGTTCGAGTCTTTTTTAAACTGAACTCAATCATTTCCCTCGGAAGAAGAATTTTTAGCCTCTCTGGTTCCTGTCTGATTATGCTTCCTTCTTCGTTAGTAAGTTTTTGCAACAGATTTTATAATGCTTAAAATTGACTTTTTTCTCAGCTTTTATAAATTATGAAATAAATATATTCAAAAGAATAAAATGCAAGCTTACTCATGTTCTTGTAATGTTGAGAATAATAGAGAAGAATTTTGTTGCACGTAATATTTATACCCTTCTCGTTTCAAGCTACGACAAATGTAGACGCTTTCTCTTTCGAACCCTATAGGTATTCTCTTCATATTTTTTCTTCCTTCTCATTGATTATGTTTTTTTTTAAATCAGCATTATTCCGTATGATAAAATATGTTGTTGACATTGCCATTGGCTTTTAAAAAAGAAACTGTACTCCTTCTCGACGACAACGTTTGACAATATTGTTTTTTTTTTGCGTTCGTTTCTTTGATGCATTGACTGCTATATTTGATTATAAGTGGAGTTCTGAAAAAACAATTTGCATTTCTAAGAGAATGTGCATAAAAGTATTCTCTTGAATATAGAGAAAAATTATTTTCTTTCAACTTATGACTGGAAGTAACAAGATGATCTATAATACTTAACTTGCTTAATCAAAAAATATGAAAATATGATTTAAATTAAAAAAGAACACTTATTTTCAGTATTTAAATTCGTTACTCTCAACAATAATAATGGAGACGAAAAGAGAAAAACAGCTATTGACATTGATTTCTAATATTTTCTAATAAAATACTTGAAAGAACTTATTCGTTGGACTATAGAAAAAAAAATACTGTCGTGACAATATTATTTTGCAATAAGCAAATGAAGAGATTGGTTATTACCATAGTGATTTTTTTATTACCTCTATGAGGTTTCAATTTTATGTATTTAGTGATAAAACATACATCTTCTTTGCATGAATCATAAGAAATCGTAATATTACTTTGTTTTAATTGACATAAGTGAAGTTATTATCTTAACATGACATTACTTATTGTGTGAAATAAGATCTTGAATAATATGAGAAGATATTTCCATATGAAATAGATCATCGATACTCACGAGCGATTATCCTCAAATTTTCTCTTCCAGTTTTAATGCTTTTTTACGCATGGATACCACATAGTGTACAAACAAAAATTCTAAAACTATTTGGATTCCTTTAAGATTTGATTCAGCTATAGAATTTTGATCTAAAACATTGTACTTATAGAGAACTCAGCTACACTAGCTTCTATGAAAAAACTCACAAGTTTTGAACAAGGTCTTTTCGAGATAGAAAGCTTTCAAAACAAGACATATTGTATAGACTATCGATGAGCAAGGCTCTACATCGTGAAAGTCTCATATCTTGAAGAGACTTTGTTCAAAACTTCTGAATTTTTTTCAAGAACACTAGTCTAGTTGAGTTCTCTATATGTGAAAATGTTCGGATCAAAATTCGATAGCTTAGTCAAATATCAATGGGGATCCAAACCATTTTAGAGTTTTTATTAGAACACTAAATTATGTATAGTATCAATAGGCAAAAAAAGAAATCTTTGAAATCGGAAGGAGTTTTCTCATAAGTGAGTTGTGTAGACCTTAGTGAATTTTCGTTGTACGACCCTATATTTGTAGCAAGAGTATGCTTTCGAATTTCGACTTGAAATTCCGTCTACATAAAGAAATCAATTAAATAGCTGACATTAAAAATATCAGAATTTTTGAATTTAGTCTCTTCGAAATATTGGACTTTAAAGTATAAGCATTTTCCCATAGATTAGAGCTCTTGGGGATCAACATTTTCGAATTCAGACCCATTTAGTTAAACTTCTCTGGACTCAGAACCATATTTTACTTGTAATTTTAATGAAACCTTTTACTCAGAGCCTGTTGGTAGCTCCGAGTTCCACTATTAACGCCTCCTACATATTTGTTAAACAGTCTTGGTAATGATTCTATAATAATCAAGTCATGATCAGCTCTTACTTTTAGAGTATGATCTGTTGGGTCGGCCACGAATCTGAATTCGGGGCCAATCCGACGAGTCTACCATGAATAGTATTAAAAGCTATCGACACACTAAAAGACCTGAGATCTTCTATTCTGTCTTATCGTTCATAAGTTATAATGGGGGGGGGGGGAGTCTTCTATTATGTCAACAGATATTATTCTGTGGAAAAAGGAAGACTATTGTCGGTAAGCAGTGTTCTTAAAACAATACAATCATTTAAACTTCTCAATAACTAAATAGTTGAAAAAAGAAAATCAACTTTTTCTTGTCAAACTCATTTCAATCATTTGCTTATATCACTAGCATAGTTATCTATCTCAAACTAACTTGAATGGATATGATCGTTTTGTGCAGAAATAACTTATAGAAAAACAGCGGTTGAATACTCATTATTTCGAAGAATACCTTTAACTCTTATTCCGAAAAGAAATGCGTTCTCAAACTCATAAGAAGTATTCACAGAACAGACAAATTCCGACGTCTATACATGAAGTTATGTTTTCTTTATTTTTGCAATAAAAGTGATTGTGCATTTCTAGAAGTCAAAGGTGAAGAGGCCTTTTAATTAATGCACAACGAAATTTTACTTAATATGCTACTATTTTACTAAGATCTCTTCATGTGTTACACGCGCGAATCTGTACCGCGTCCATTAGATCCTATGATCAAAGTTATGGTTTTTCCGTATACAGAACCTAAAAAACTTTTTCAGAGTAAGCTTCAAAGAAGCACGTAGATGACTCCACGACATGTTTACAAAAAATGAATACGTTCTTTAATAGACAGTTGTTTCCTATTAGCTGTTTCTCAAGATTTTTCTAACTCGAAATTGACACGTTGTTATGAAAACGGAAGTAAAATATTGTTCATACTGAACTTAGATATCATTATAGACTTAAATACTAAAAGTCAATAAACTCCATAGATTATTTAAAAGAAATGATTTTCTGAGTAGGATCTGCTAATAGGTATGTTGCTTCATTTATCCAAAGGAGAGGAGGTGGGAGTCTTTTTATTTGTCGAAGGATTTAAGGTATTTATTTTTGGAAAGTTTCATATCTCGACGAGAGCTGCTCCAAAAATCCTAAAAGTTTCATACTAGCTAGTCTAATTGATTTCTTTACGTGGGAACAGTTTTCGATAGAATTTCTCTAAAAAGGTTCAATTATTTTTAGAAACAAACCATAAGCACGAACTTTTTTATGGTAGATTTAGTTCAGTAAGATCTATAAGATGCATTAAGTCTCGATTGAAAAGCAAATCGACATCTGGAAATGTTCACTCATTAGAGAAATACATAAAATTCTTGTTATTCGATAAGCTACAAAAACAATTGAAACATTTTTTATTTTTGATGAAGTGAACAAAGCGATAAACAGTTTGTTTTATTCATTCAAGTCTAAAAGTATTGTGATTGTGAATGTTGACTCATTGAATAATCTAGACTATTATTCTTTAATAGTAATGGTGGTGCTTTCGTTGTATAATGTTTTTGTTGTTGACATTGTGAGTAATCACTACTACTTGAACTTGTATAACTTCGAAATGTTTTAATAGATGTTTCCGTTGTTTTATAATTCGCAGCTTGTAATTGTCCTTCAAGTTTAAGTAAATGAGTATGATTTGATTTACCATCGAGCAATGATGAAACTTGATTAATAAAGGCAAACAATTTGTCAATTGATCGTTGAGATAAACGACGTTGAAAAATGCTACGATTATGAATAATTTCATGAAGTATATTAAATAAACGATCAATTGGATCGATTACACAAATATTAGCAGCAAATTGACGATCACTATCATCAATTATTTCTACATTTTCACAATACTGACGAAGACGATTACATAATTTATCCAATATACGTGAAACACAAGAATTCGACGAAGCTAAACAATTTATTATTATTTCAGTTGTACAAAGGACCCTCTCGAATTAGGTGATCTATTCGGAATTGAAAAATTAAATATATCATGTAGTAGAGCAAGCCAAGATAAATCGAAGAGTATAAAGTAAAACTTATTTTTCCGTAAGACTATCAAGGAACTACGTAATCGAATCAATTTACTGATAGGCGACTATGAACTCAATGCATGATCATTGCTGTCTTTGGTATCAGTCGAAGGTGTTTGCAATATTTATTCATTGTATACAGTTTTGTAGCGTTTTTCATGGGCTACAAACTCATATATTCAACGTCTTCAATCATTCTATCTCTAATAATAGACAAAAAATGCGATCTTTCAATGATTTATCATCGTTTTCCACTGACGATGGGACTCCGCGTTTCCAATAGTGTCGACCATAGAAGATGTGACCAGACATCATATTTTCTCAGAAATTACCTGCAATGTAACACGATAAAACACACTATTTAAAAGTTCTCCAAAATGAGTGTGTGATGCCCAAAATAGTTTCGTATTGAAAATGCTAACCAATTCTTCCATTGACTTTTCTCTTCATGTTCTACTTCAATATTTTGATTATTGAGAAGAAATTCTGGTGCGAAATAAGTATCATATTCGGAATCAACATAACAAACAGTATTGAATAGCTTATACTTTAACAAAGTATTTTTTTTTCGTCAAAATTCAATTCGTGGAAGACTACAGAGTTAAACTCAAGAAAAATGGTGGAAGTGAAGTAACGATCGAATTTCAATGAAAAAAATTTAGTTAAAAGATAAATGTTTCAATGCATTATTAAAAGAGAAAAATTAATGTAAAAATTGGTTAACTTTTTCAATGTGGGAGTATTTAAAATATCACGTGCTCATTTTGGAGAACTGCCAGCAGATAGTGTGTTCTGCAGTGGTACATTGCAGACAATTTCTGAGCAAATTTGACGTCTGGTCAACTCTTCTATGGTCGACACTATTGCAGACGTGGAGACTCATCATCATTGACAAAAAAAATCGTATTTTTGTCTATCAAAAATAGAATGATCGATGATGTTAAGTATATGAACTTGCAGTCCATGAACAGCTCTACAAAACTATATAAGAAAAATCTATCAGTAAATAGATTCAAGTTCTTTCGAAGTCTTATGAAAATAAAATTTACTACAAATTATTTGATGCACCTTGATTTGCTGTACAACACTCTATTTGTTTTTTTTTTAATTCGGAGTTCGTCATCTGATCCAACAGGGTTCTTTTTTCTTTATTTACCTAATGAAATAATCATTTGATGAATAAAATAAATATGATTGTCTGTAATATGATCAAGTAAATCAAATAGACAATCAAGAAATTTATCAATCATTGGTAAAATATCAAGAACAATATGATATGGTTTATCATTATCAGTTTTAAGATTATTAGCAATAATTTGTATTGTATAAAGGCATGCATCAATTGGTATTGTTTGATGAATGATATCTGTTTTTGTTACTATCCATTTCGTTAAAGTATTAAGTAAAAATTCTACATCATCAATCTTAATTTGATATTTTCTATCTTTTAATTGAAATACTTTTTCAGCAAATTCACCATATTCATATTCATTTGTTTGTTTTTTGTTGCGGTCATCATTTTCAATTGTAGCTGTTGTAAAATCCATGAAAGAAATACTCGAAGTTAATTTTGAATGAGAAGGAAAAACACGAGATAGAATATCTTGTTGACGAAGAATAAGATGTTCATCAAGTATAGATACAAGTTGACTTGAGCTATTAGGCCGAGGAAATAATCGTTTAGATAAAATACGTGTAAAAACATCTGGCTTAATACCATCTGGTGTATTACGTATAATTGCTATTGCTAATGATAATTTTTTAAATAGTTCGACATTAATTATTTGTAAATCCATGGATTAAATCGATGAATTGGATTAAAATGAATAAATTTAATAAATAAAAACAACCGCACTCTTTTTAAAATAGCCAATCATTATGAAGATGTTCGTATTCGAAAGAGGACACTGAAGTTTTGAAGAAAATTTGACGGATTATATGATAAAGAAAAACACTTAAAAAGCAATCAGTTTCGATTTAAGAAATAAATGATTTCTATTGAGAACATTTTCTCGTTTGATAATTTGAATATTTGTTTATGAAAAATATATCATATCAAACGAGATATAATCGGGTGCGTCAAAATAAATGTTCCTGTAAGTATTTTCTCAGTATCATCATACCTTAATCTTGGTGTTAAAAAGATTCACGATTTTATTTTCTACAGGAACATATTACTAGTGAAATATTTGTATCATTACGTGCTATATCAGTGAATTAGTTCATATTCCAAACTTTAGAAAAATAACCGTTTTGATTCAGCGATCCTCGGACTCAGAAAAATTTGTATTAAATGACGAAAAAAAACTCGAGCCAATATAACTCAACTTTATATCAATTTTAAGAGAACTGAATGGTACACCAGACTAAAATGCGACAAGTTGAATAGGGTTCTTTATCCGGATACATCATACAAAACAAGCTAAGTTTTACGTGTTTTGAGCTAACGAGGCAACCTGTTCACGTGTCAGCCGAGCCATCATTCTTCAGATGTCGAAGTTTCACTGAGTTTTTCAACAAAAAGCTGTAGTTCCTCTCGGGTCACGTATAAAATAAAGTTTCAACTTCAAATTTTCCATGAACAAAAGTTCTTAATGAGATTAGTTGATTGTGCAAAGTTTAGCTTTTCTATTCTTTCCTTTTTGGAGATCTAAATAAATAAACAAAACTATGAACTAATCTCATTGAAAACTTTGTTTATGTGATGTTTAAAATAGAAATTCTCACGTGACTTGAGAGGATTCACAGCTTTTTGTTAAAAAATCCAGTAAAATTTCGATATCTTAAGAACGAAGACCCTGGAATGCCAAGTCATTCTAGACTTTTCTATTACTCATCAAATGAACATTGTCTCGGTCAAAAAGCGATTTAGCACTTGGGGAGATTCCCTCATAACTTTTCATAAAGTAATGTTTACGTCGAAACAAGAACTTGGTTGAAACGAACTTCATTGTATATCATGATTAAGAACGCACTGAACTATCCCATTGTTCGAGAAGTCCATGCAACTATATCAAAACAGTGTGCT